GTGTGTGTGTGTGTGTGTGTGTGTGTGTGTGTGTGTGTGTGTGTGTGTGTATACACTATATGTACGGATGTTGTTTATACAGCTCAAGATGTGCCCCGTCAGCTAACGTGAAATCATTAGTTATACTAATTGGTTCCTCACTACCGGCATATCTTAATCCCTCATTCCTCTCTTCCTCTTTTTCCTACATTCATCTATTTCCCTCCTTCTGTGTCGCCTATCTTCTTCAAACCACTTCTGATATGACATTTTGTCTCTCACTCTTTTATCTGACCCTCCTTTCCATCTCTTCTTCCTTACTCTTGCACTCATGGCAATTATATTCACACTTTTTCACTTCCCCTGTCCTCATTTCTAAAATGAAGTAGACAAATAACAGGGATGCAGATGTCTGCTGAGATTACCGTCCAGCCTGTGGGTATGTGTGAGAGAGCGAGAAATAACAAGCAGAGCTTCCTTGAACATTACAGAGTAAATAAATAGGCAAGTGAAGCTGTCAATAGAAGCGAAGATTGTCTAATGATTATTGCTTAAAACTCACCTTGTATCTTATGAAGAAAGGGAGAAAATAAGGCAGACAGAGCAAAGGAAAAAACAGATAGTTTTTAGAAACAATTGTGTTTTTTTTAGCTCTCCACAAAGTTGTAATTAAGGCTAATACATCAATAGCTGAAAATGAAACTGTGTTCTTTTTTGATTACTGTAATCTCTTGTGATTCTTTAGAACATGATTTTTGTGACTGGGAAGCCACATCACTCTGTGCAGCCTGATAGTGGATTATACAGTATGTTTTCAGTAACTGTGCTTGATTATGGTTCAAAATGTATTTTCAAAATATCAAACCAAGGTTATCATGTTAATCTACTGAACTACTTCTGATCTTATAATGTTCCAACATTAGAGTGCAATGCATTTTTGATTTCTTGACTGGGTATTTCACTAAGCTTGTCTGGACACATAACCCAGATCCAGTGACACCAACAAGAAGCTGCTAAAAAAACAGTGATTAAGTCCATCAAAGGATGCATTAAAATAAATTAAAAGTGCCCTCTATTGTTTTGTTTTGTTTTGTTTTGTTTTGTTTTGTTTTGTTTTGTTTTGTTTTGTTTTGTTTTGTTTTGTTGTTTTGTTTTTTTGTTTGTTTTGTTTGGGGGGGGGGTTGGAGGGGGGGTGTTTGCTTGCTTGCTTGTATGTTTGTTTGTTTGTTTTATTGGGGGGGTGCATTTTTTGTATCAGCTTGCTGAAAACTGTACAAAGGTTCAAACACTGGAAATCATTTGTTTAGCTAACTTGACATCCAGATATAGCAAAGAAGTGTTTAAGTATCAAATATTATTATCCTTATATTTATTTTTGTGTTAATATCAATAAATATTTACTTGATTTTAGAGAATCCAAAATAAACGACAACAAAAAAAATCACTGAACACAGATTTGAAAATATGTTTTTTTGAGTGATCTCATGTTCAGATATGAACATTTTATTCTTATCTATCTTCTCAACTTTACCTGTAAGTCTTAATATTTGTTGGATGCTTTTTTGGTATTCAATAATGTTACTGACCTTGTCAACTAATATAATAATCAAATTATTCTCTTTTAGAAACAAGTCACATGGAACTTTGCTGGCCTTTTGACCCTGTTCTTACTTTATTTTTATTTTAACTTGTTTGCATTTTTCTGTGTAATTTTGAGTATAAACTACTTTTGGACTTATTGAGATTTTTTCCCCCCTTTCAATCTGTAGTGGTTCAGTCCAGTAGTGGTGGTACTGGCTTAACCAATCAGCTAGTACCACCTTGTTAAATGCTAATTGGTCAGCATTGGTCAGAATGTGTAATTGGTCCACTTTCTTCTGTTTCCTGTTTTTGTGTTTAAACACAAACTGTTTGATATTGTGTAATGAACCTGATGAAGGCCACAAGGCGAAATGTGTTGGTCACCCAATAAAGTTGTTCCCTAATACTATAAGTGTCTCTGGAGTCTTCACATCATCAGATCTTTGTCTTCTCCATGCACCTTGGAAGTAAATGAACTTGTGCAAGTAAATTTTGTTGGCCTTTCAACCCTTTAAGAAGTCTGTTAAATTTCAAATAAGCATATGTTTTTAAAAGAAACTGTAGAATTCAGATTCAACAGTTTGTGATCATTTTTTTTAATTAAATGTGGCGCTTAAATGATCTATCTTAGACAGTCTTATTCTTTTAAGTCTGATTTGTGATAAGTGCGATACAATATCAAATCACCTGGGAAAAAAGGGCTGTTTCCAGTGTGTTTTTTTTCTGTTGCATGCTAGTACTTCACTTCTCTTTTCTCCCACTGATTTCCTTCCATTTCTCATAATCTATCTTGCTCTCTGCCCCATTCACTCCCACCCTACCTCTTTATCAAAAGAGACCTGTTCTACATAGAAATTCCTTTTTGTGTCTGCATAGATCTTTCATGATGACAACCGTAGTCAACAGCAAGAAGTAGTCATTGCCTTCAGCAATGTGACCTCTCTTTCGACGCACCAAGCATTCCTTGGTTCCCTTTTTTTTCTTTTTCCCTTTTTCAAATTCTCTTTGTTTGTGCATTACTTTCAGCACCAAGACCATCCCTAAGAGCTTTGCCCCCTACAGCTGGATTCTTTGTAACTTTTGTTTCCATGTTTTATGCATGTTTTTTCTTTTATGTTTACAGATCTTTCTAGATGCCAACACTATCAGACTGGGCAACATTCCCCTCGGTAGTGCTGTGGATCCCCTGGAGGGAGCGCCTGCAGGTACCACCTACACCAAACAGACTGTGTACGAGCTTTGTGCCTGTGCTAACGGCAAGCTCTACCTGTCCCCTGCTGAGAAAGGCTCTACTTGCCAAACCACCAGTAACTTTTGTCTCTGGAGCTGAAAGCGGGAGGTCGAAATACACACGGGACATATGGACGATTGAGTTTGAAGCTAATATAGCCAACAGACTGAATCACCATGGATTTATGGCTTGATGGGAAGCTTTTGCCAGCTAACAGACTGAATCAGCATGAACTGTAACAAGGCGACAATTTCATGTCTGTTCACCAATCAAATAATATGGATTACAGCTTGGCAGGAAGCTAATGGTTGCTAACAGGCCAAATCAACATAGACTGTAGCTCGGTGTTAAGCTAATGCCAACTAAAGGACTAAATCAACAGAGACTAGAGCTTGAGCAAAGCTAATACCAGCTCACTGGTTGAATTAATGTGTTGGTGGGTAGCCAATGCCAGTCCAGAGCATGGATAACTTTGTGGGACACAAAAGCCAACAAGATCAGCTGATGGGTTTCATGCTTAGACCACTCTTGGACATATGTGAGCAGTCTCATTCTGGGGCTGTTGTTGAGTGTCTTTCCCATTGTTTAATTGCTGCCATGATGATTGCTGAAGGTCGCAAAGACTTTGGTTTTTTTTTTTTATGAACAGCAACCTTTGTGTGTTCAGAAAATAGCCAACATGTCCTGACAAAACATACACTTGTTGCTATAATATGATGAAGGAACACATACTTGGCAGTGACATGGACATGAAAACTTGGTTATCAGTTGGCTAACAGACATCAATGATGACATTTGTTTACCCCAGTGGGTAGCTAACAAGAAAATCAAAATATAGTTTTGTCTCTAGGGAAGCTAAGGCTAGCTAACGGACCAATCTATACCAGAAAGGCCTTCTCCCTCTATTTCCTCTCCAGCCCTTCAACTCAAACATTGACATGTGACTCTTCTGCATTAATCCGCACCTGATAGTAAAAATGTTCTCTATCCCCACTTTTCATATGATAACTAATGCAAATTATTGTGATTTAACCATTGTATTCACCAGCTTCTTTTCCTAGTATTTTTTTTACATTCTTCATATCTATTTTTACTTTCTTTTAGTTTTTTCTGATGAAATCTTTTACTTCTTCTCTTTTTTCCCAATCAATGTTTTTGTATTCCTTTATCATTTCATATTTTGCAAATGTGCCCCTCTCCATGCGCTAGTTATTTGTTCTGTCTATGCACCTACTAGCACTGTTCAGGTAAGGAAAAGGCCTATCTATTTCTTCCAGCAGTGTAGTTTAAAAATGAAAAAAACGCCACATACAGACTGCTTCGACTTCCTCCTCCACCTTTGTCTCCACGTCTTTTGTTTCTCACAAGTTATTCTATGTGGACATATGATGGTTAGCTACAGACAGCAAATGGAACATAAAAAGGGAGGAGAAAATGAGATATCAGTCTTCGATCATACTCAGGTAGGTGCTGTAGCAGACAGACCACTTTCTGGTATAGGGCCAAACTTCCAACGCCAGGCAGAGGCAGCAGTCAGCTGAAAGACAGACCAATTTTAGTCCTCTTATGGGGTATTATACATCTTCATCCAGGCTGTCTTGTCGGTCATACTGTCTTTACATCTTTTTTTCTTGACCTTTCTGCTTTTCATGCCAGGTTTGTGCTCTTCCTTCTCAGCCACCAAGAGACATTTTCACTCTTTGTGCTCAGTCCATTTTGTCCTTTCTGTATTTTATTGCAATATGCCTGCCACTCACTATTCATTGTTTATCTTCCCAGTTAAGAAGCATCTCACCTGTTTATCTCATATTTTTATCCCAATCATCAATCAACTAGCATACATTAATGTTGTTTCCACATCCTATCCGTTATGCTTTCTCCAGTCTAAGTTGGAAATGTCCCTCTATAGTCATAGTATTCTCCCTTTCAAAATATCTCTAAATCTGGGCAAGAAAATATGGAAATCTTGGGAAATACTATTTTGGGGTGTATTTTTGTTTTTTATATTATTCAGTCAGTCCCAGAAGGGGGATCAGTGTGAATGGCCATGAGCTGGTTAACCTGGTGCCCAAAATCTGTAATGGCTGGCGGAAAAAAAATTTGTGTGGAACAAATCCCCCTGCAAGAAGTGATGGATGGGTTTGGTTTATATGTGTATGGACTCAACGAGAATAAGGCCCTGCAGCTTACTTTCTTTTTTAAACAAAGCGATACACAGGTGCCTTTGCTACTGTTGGTAAAAGCACATCACAGTCTGAACATTCACACTACCCTCAGTGGACCATCTGCAAGTGTCTCTGAACTATCTATTTTATCAATCTACCTATCTAGTTTGTTTTCCCTTTCTGCCCCTTCCCTCCTGGTTTTGTAGAACTCTCAGTATATCCAGCTGAACAATGAATAATTCAATCATTTAAAGTTTAATTTTCTGATGTGTTCCCCTATGGTTTATTCTTGATAATAAAAAAGCACAAATTATGCCATGTATATAACAATACCAATAAAATACAAAATAAAATAGTATTGTTTTTAAAAATAATCTCTTGAACTGGTGTTGTAATTAGTATGTAACCATCACTTTTTTATGTTCCTAACAATGTTTTTTTAAGGTATATAGAACATCGAGAAGCACTTGGTCAGACAAGAACACAACTATCTTCTGGGACTTTTTATCTTGGGAAAGCTATACCATATTTAACCCTGCTCTTATCCTTTTCTTTGTCTGCTACCTTTTACTTGAAGAACTTGGTTTCAACTGGAGAAGAATTTGAAAGACCGCTGCCAGCTGTACCGCTCAATTACAGTCTGCCAACTCACTTTAACAATACATAAAGCAGAAAGGTTGGTCTTGCACTAGAATGCAAACTGCTACCAAAGATAAGCTGAGAATATAACTGTCTGTTAAGGACACCATCACTTTGTCACGTCATTCCAAAGAAAATAGTTTTATGGGTTGTTTTTTTTTTTTGCTATATTATTAATTGAACATGAATAAAACTAAATGACTATCATTGCATCATTTCAGATGGACTTTGACTGGGCAGTTGTGACACCTTGATGCTTTTCGTTGTCAGCTCTTCTGCTGTAAATTTGCTGTTGTGCTTGGGATTCTTGTCCTGTTGCATGGCCCAGTTTCAGCCAAGGTTAACCTTTTTCTCCCATAAAGATCACAACTGACATCGTCCCCTTGTACCCTTGATTTCACATTTTGACCTCTCAGTGTTTATCAATAAAGATGTGGTTTGATGACCATTAGCATACTTTCCAGGATTTTCTAGGGGTAACTACACAGGCAATGACCACCCACACTAACTTTTGATGCACACCTAGTTATTTTGTTATGTAAGCATGCCTGAAATGTGGATGAAACTGCTTGGTTCAGAAAAGAGCTTTGAGGGTTACTCCTAGTACCGTAGGCTTTCAAAGGATAAAGGGCATACTTTCAATCAAATTGTGTCAGATTTTACTCCAGAGTTCATGGTTGGCTCGGTGACTGCAAGGTATCCAGATCCTGTGGCTCTAAAATACCCAAATCATCACCCCCTCCTCCACTGTGCTTGACAGGTGGTATGAGGTGTTTGTGCTTGTATCCAATGTTTGTATTTGCTCGGATGTCTACTAATGGGAAGATTGGCAACTCACTTGAAAGTTTTCCATTTGTGAATAATCTTTTTCATTGTAGAATGTACAGTTGTTTGAAAATGGCCTTATAACCTTTTCCAGATCAATGGGAAGGAACAATTACTTCTTTAATATCACTGCTGATGTCTTTTCCCATTGGGTATTGTGTCAACTCAACTAAATGCTCAAGCAGGGGTGATTTTAGGATCGAACATTTATGGAAGCCAAGCCCCAATTATAATATCACACATATTCCCCTTGCAATGGACTATGATGCTGGCAAAACATATTCAATCATTTTCACATCTCAGTTTGTATTGTCGTGTTAAAAAAAAAAAAAAAGATTCTGAATGAATCATCACAGTTTTTACTATAATACAGGGTGGATACTTGAGTTATCAAACTTGAGGCAAAGGAATGTTGATCAGGATTTCTTTAAGTAAAGTTAAAGAACTATTTTTAGCAAATACGAGGAGAAACGTGCACGGTTTGTTTCAGAGTCTTTTCACCACGTAAAGGCACTAAGAAGGGCAACAATTAAGGCAGTATTTTTTTTTTGAAGTAACAGGTAATTTTAAATGCAATGTTTCGATCAGCTTGTACTGAGGTATCACAGAGATTAATTGTGCAGCTAAACTACTGTACACTGACAGAAATGGGGAAAAAACTTTAGACTGGTCCGGCCCACCTAAGATCAAAGTGGCATGTACGTTGGCTTCAAAATGCATTTCGCATCCATGGTATAAATGGTATATTGTTAGAGCAGGGGATGGAAATCAGCCAAGATTGCTCCTGAAACTTCTGCTTACATCTTGTTGAATTCAGCTGTGTGACTCCACAAAGAGCAGTAAACCTCAGAGCAGAAGCAGGTCAGCTCATCACACCCTGTACACCAAGAAAACATACTAGAGCTTACAATAGAAATGAATGTGAGTTGTGATCGTTTTCACCTTGCTCAGCTACTAAAACAGATCTTAGGATTCTGCCACCTGCCAAATGTCACTTTAACCCCTGAGTATACACATTTTTCTATAGAGGTAAACTCACCCTCTAAACATTTATTTTCGTGTCTTTCAAAAATCATGAAAAAAATTGTTTACAGACACATGTAACCACATAGATGCTTTGGGGCAGAGCAACCCTGACCAGCACATTCAATTGTCATTTATTAGTGAGGCCGGTGGGTCACATGACCCTTATGCTTCCTGACAGTAATGGAAGGATGTTATATGCTCTAACCTATTTTAAAAATGTACAGGTAGAACCATTTAAAATTGTGTTGTGGTCCTATAAAGACAAGTGATTCAGAACCTTATTATACCTAAACCTTATTTGTATAGAACCTTATAGTGATGCAAGATACAATGACAACTTGTGGGAGTGAAGTCTATTATCTTGCATTATAGTTTGTTTTGAAGGGCACTTATGAAGGAGGCCAAATTTACTCAAATTGGCTTTAATTAGTGTGAGGTTACAATCTTAAAAATGACAATGTTTTGAGTGTAATTTATTTGTCATGGTGCCTGGTGAGCCAGGGTTTTGAGTTTTGCAAATGTTTAGAATATAATGTAATATAGTGAAACAATGTGACAATTCAGATCAATAGCAGGCAGCTGAAGTAGAATCATGTAAACAAGCTGAAATCAGACCCCATTTCCAGCAATCTGGTTATTGTGGTAGGAGTGAACTTTTCATAAGTTCTGGGGCGATCTGCTGCATCTCCCCTGCTTCATCGCTGCTCCCTGTAGTTGGCGTGCTCTGTCAGAAGTTGACTAATTACTGACACAATACCGCTTGACAGTATAAAATAACACGGCCAACTGATTCAGCATTGTGCCCTCATTCAATCCACTCGACGGTGAGTCAAGTTACTTTGTTTGTTTTCTTATAATTAATAATGCAGTCAGTGAGCTAATGCTAGGCTAGTGAAGCTTAAATTTCATTACTGGTTTTGATTTCTGTTTGAAGCTGTAGGTTTTTATTAAAGATGATATTCTCATATTATAACAATATGAAACATTTTTGTTGCCTAAGCAACAAAACATAAAAAGTTAAATTAACAATTAAAGAATCCTTTTTCTTATTAAAAGTGCTCTCCTTCTATATTTTGTTTTTTGTTAATCATTTTTTGTTATTTGGATGTCACCTCTTTCCAGGACCGTGTTCAGTGGAATGTCTTGTATAATTCTGTCAAGATTTGCACAATATAGTAATTTTTATTATTTGTTAATGTGGTTTCGAAGTTGTTTATCCCACCTATTCCTAATTCCCTAAAGTGGTGGCAGAAAATTCAGATTCTCAACAAAAAAAGGAGAATGGGCCAAATGTGGTGTTTATGTGGGGTCCACAAACTGCAAAATCCAGGCAGATTTTCCATTTGGCAAGCAAATCTTGGAAGGCCACACTGGAAGGTGCATCCATCAAAATATGCATGTAATAAAAAACAATGCAGAGAGTCTCTACTGTGTCTTGATGTCACATTTTTTTTGCACTCCTTCTGTCCTCTGCGCTCTGTGTTAGAGTTTGAGACATAACAGGTTCATTATTCTTTTTCCCAACACTCATTACTTTTTAGCCTTTTGTTTTTTTCCCTTCTTTGTCAGCTTGTGTTTACCTGCCTATGTTCCCTGGCTGTATCGCCTAACTTCTGTGTTTTCTCTACCCTGTTTTTGTTCCCCTTTTTGCTTGATTTATACTTGGACTTACCTACTTTTTCTGGATCTCCAGCTAATCTTTGTTTGGCTACCTTTATTTTCACCACAGTGTAAGTTTTATTTAAAAAAGTTTTATTCATTTGCCTGCCCACTTCTTTGTCTAAATTTGAACTGAACGCTGCATTACAAAACAGACAGTAGATGACTCGCCATGTACTCAAGTGACAGCATTTACTGAGGTGCTCCAACAAATCTCTACTTAATGATGACCCAAGTTGTACATATGCACAAAGAAGAGGTCTAGTACTGCCGGTGTGTGATAAATGTGTGTGCTTGAATGACAAGCACTGCCAACAGAGGTGCAAGATAATACTTTCATTTCCTCCTTGTACATTAAGACACATTACTTATAATAGGAGAATGGTTAGCCACTATGGTCACTACATATGAGAAAAGAAAAGAGTACAGTGGACATGAAATGGGAAGAAGAAGAATGACACTGGTTAGATAAAGGTCCTATGTTTCCATGAATATAGAACATATTTTTGGTCATTCTTTAAACCACAGGTATTATCAGTGAAGTGAAGGTTACCTTCAATCATGGCGGCATTAATCAGCTTTTGTTATCCTTTCCAAATATAGCAAATCACCATAGCATTCTGATGTGCTTAAATCCCAGTCCCAGCTGTAAAAGATAAACTTAAAGAAAAAAAAGATTTTATGGCTCCGAGGACACACCACAAAGAGCTATTTATGTTTCTTTGTAGTCTAAAAACACAAATTGCGCTTCCAAAACACCAATACACAGTGTTCTTTGTAATGACAGGCATCAACAACTCTGTTACAATTCTGCCTATTTTCATGTGTGATTAAGCTTGTTTTTTGATGTTAGAGAGCATGCAAAAATACTACAATTATGTGACTAATAGGAAAAAAGAAATTATCTGCTCATGAATGCAGGAGCTGATGACGTTTCAAAACAATTCGATTTACATGACTGGCACAGTGATTTTGTACTTAGTTTGACTATTCAGTGAGACTTATGGAAATTTTTTGTTGTTATAAAAAACAAAATGACATGTTTTCAGAAACCTGCCTCCTTTCAATGAGAAAGGGAAATAACTGTGCACTCTTGATTAGGAATGATGATACACATATATTACAATGTTGAAATTTCCTGATGACCTATACAATGCATGGTATCCAGAGGATGTGTTTGTATCATGTTCAAATGAGTCCACCAAGATTTTTTAAAGATGTTTAGTTTATGAGAATAAATATTTGTCCATGTTCAATAGATTGGAGGTGATAGTCATCTAAAAGATAAGAAAATGCAGAATTCATCTTTGTAAAGAATTATGATGTAGATGATAAAAGATTCAAGATTCTTTATTTGCCACATGTATAGTTAACGCGCAGTGAAATGTGTCCTGAAACGCTCATCGACTGTGCAAAAAGAGAAAACTGTATACAGTAAGTGAATTATATACATTAAGTAAATTAAATTAAATAATCTGGAAATTTTAAATTGGGATTCTGAACGTTCAGCTGAAGGTCGTTGTCCTGGCACCACAATACCAGGTTCTTCACCTCATCCATGTAGGCTGCCTCATCATTGTTGGAGATGGTGCCCAACACCACTGTGTCGTCACAATTCACAATGGTATTGGAGCCATGGGTGGCCACAGAGTCAGAAGTATAGAGGGAGTAGAGCAGTGGTGAGAGTACACACCCCTGTGGCGCTCCCATGTTGATGGTGATGCTGTCGGAGACACACCTACCGACCCTCACCACCTGAGTTCCGTCAGTGAGGAAGTCCAACACCCATGCACATAGACGGCCGTTGAGTCCTGGATGGGCACTATTGTGTTAAACGCTGAGCTGTAATCAACAAACAGCAATCTCACATAGTTACCCTGTTTCTTGTCCACGTGGCTGAGAGTGGTGTGCAGGCCATAGGCGATGGTGTCCTCTGTGGATCTGCTGGGTCGGTAGGTGAACTGGAGCGGACCTGTGGTGTTTGGGATGGAGGAAGAGATGATGTTCTTCAACAGCCTTTTGAACATCCTGTCTTCCTTCTCTCACCCCAACCGGTCGCAGCAGATGGCCCCGCCCCTCCCTGAGCCAGGTTCTGCCGGAGGTTTCTTCCTGTTAAAAGGGAGTTTTTCCTTCCCACTGTCGCCACAGTGCTTGCTCATAGGGGGTCATATGATTGTTGGGTTTTTCTCTGTATCTATGAAGCGCCTTGAGGCGACTTTTGTTGTGATTTGGCGCTATATAAATAAAATTGAATTGAATTGAATTGAATTGAATTGAATTGAATTGAACATCTTCATTACCACCAAAGTCAGTGCAAGTGGCCAGTAGTCATTCAGGCATGAGGGCAGGATTTTTTATTTATTTATTTATTTTAGTTGTGAGTTTCTGAAACACAGTTTGTGGCTTCATTTAATGATCGCAAATAAATAATCATAGCGTATCATAGCCATACCCTGAAAAAAAATATTTTTTTACCTTTTTAACCTTATTCTTACAGTATGTGACCTTAATGTTCATGTTCAATTTATTAGTTCTGACAGTGATTCAAAGTGATCCTGAGACATTCACATTCATACATTAAATGGTATGAGTGTTAAACAAGTTAAAAGAAAAGTGTTTCAAGTTTATAGCACTCTTAATCGACCGTGTGGGTAAAGCTGTGAAGTGTTCCGCATTGTTAGATTAAATACTGATTGCTGTTATCACTGAATGTGTATTCTCAATTGCTGTTGTCAGTCTTTTTAGTTTTTCATAGTGAAGTTCTAAAGTCAACAACAGTAAATACAAAACATTGTTCAACTTTAAAACATACTGGGAGAAAACTGCGAATGGACTGTGTGTCTGTGTGTGTTTGCAAAAGGGAGGAGCGTCTAGCTCATAAAAGAGTAACAGGAAGGGGAAGTGGAAATTATCGACAGTGGAGCTATTTGTCAATACTGCCACACACTTTATGTCATTGATCATTTTTATGATTTCATCGTAAACATGGTAAAAATCAGTGGATGTGCTTTTATTCTTTCTGGTAAGTTGTTGGTTTTTTTTGGGGGGGGGGATTGCTTCTTTTTTTTTTAGTATTTGCACCTAGACAATAAGCAGGTGCATAAACGTGGTAGCTGTCAAGTAATGTTTGCAAATATTAAAATACAATTCATATCACTATTGATAGAAATGTTAATATTTGAAGGTATGCATTCACTGAAAACGTTTTCTTTTTATTTCTGCTTGTAGCTCTCAATATTGTGGAGATAATGACACTCAATGTACAAGGTGAAATTGGGGGAAAGGTGTCATTCACATGTTCAAACTGGAACATTTGGTTCAGTGTGACCACTAATAATAAGTACCTTTGTGAAAGTCCATGCTCAGATAAAAAACACATAATCATCACTGCTGCACCTGGAAAGACTAAACATCAAAACAGAGTAATCCTAAAAAACAAAGGGAATGATTTGTTAGTGACTTTCAATAATCTTAAATTGGTAGACTCAAAAAAATATTACTGTGGAGTTGAGAGACTCGCCTCTGATCCACTTATAGAGGTCAATCTAAAAGTTGTACATGGTGAGTTTCTATTCTTTCTTTTCTTTCAAGAATTAAACAAAACAAATCCTTTGTTCAAATCAGAAGGAACTTACAATCTTAATTTATTTATAAATGTATGCTGCATTTGTGGTTCCAGGTCCCAAAAAACCTGCTAAGACAGTCACTGCTGGGTCAACTGTGTCCTTTGCTGTTTTAAACAGAACGACTATGCCTTCAAGCCATTTGGATATTATTACTAATTTGTCTGTCCTATCCTATATAACACCAACTACACCACCCATTCAAAAAGATGGTAAGAACACACATGAACTAAATCAGTGGTTCACATGCTTTCTTCATGTTGTATTCTGTGCATGCACGTTATCATGTTCAGTCAGAGTTTGATGTTTGCATTTTCTTCAGTTTTCAGTAGTTTCAGATGTGAGTTCAAATAAATTTCTCTGATGAACTGTTTCAATGATAGCACGATAAAGAATATACTGAATATTATGAAATGTGATAAAGATTTTGTTCTGAATAACTTTATTTTTTTCTTTGTTGGCCAGGAATTGTGCCATATTTAATTTTAGGTATCATTGCCATAACAGTGATGATAGTATTGATGGTCATGTTGAAGTTTATGCAAACTTTTAAAAAAAAAATGGGTAAGGTCACACACACCACCACAGACATTGTGCATGGAAAATGTGGTATAGCGTCCATGACACATTTCCTGTTGTA